CTGGTAGTTTCATGGTTTCCTAATTTTGTTGGCGTTTCGATTGATATGAATATCGTGTTTGTTCATTGGTTTTGTCAGTGCTTGGATTGTAGATGTTGGAAGTGGTGTATATGAGAGTTTTGCAGGCTCAGGCTGCTCCTGTTGGAAAAGCCCCGCGAATTTTGCCTGTCATATTATATCACATCGGGAAACAAAAAATCTTGGTTTATGCTCAGTCTTGTGAAGCATCTGATAATGTCACTGGATTCTATTGCGGTGTAAGTGCGATGGTTACGTACAAGGAACTAAGACTGAACGGCCGGTCGTGTGCGTCTCCCTCCTTGGAAATGTAGGCTTTATCAGGTGTTTATGGTAATATTCTTGGAACCTGAGTTTGCAGGGGGGGAAGTTGAAGGTTTAGGAAGCAAAATGTTCTGTAAAGGGCTGGAATTTGAATAAGTGGGATGAGAACTGAGGGAAGAGGACTCGATTTGTATAATGTCGTGCAGGCTCTAAGAGTTTATTGCTATTCGGAATTGTTTAGGGGGCTAGATTATATGTGTTCTTCAGCGTCGGCTTGAGCAAGTGCTGCATTGAGATCTAATAGGTCAACGTAGTGATGTTCAGGGGTTAACCCTTTATTGAAAGATCATACCTTTAATCAGATCTCTAGAGTTTAATGTTGATCATCGTGAATGTTACCACAAATTTGATTTAAGCAAAAACGAAAAGGTAAAAGTCTCCCCAAACACACACTTAGTTCCAGCACGACGATATTCATAGCTATTAAGTTTTATTTATATTTTATTTTTTCATGTGGAATAGTGATTTGTTTATGGCGTCCCTAACAATTGTAAAACATCTTTTGAATTAAAAAATCTCCACGGGAATAAGACTAGACCTTTGCTCATGTCCAATGAAAAGTGGCTACTTATTAGTGACATGAGTTTGCTGACTGGCTATTTCTGTTTCTTCATTGGAGGGAATGCTGTATGGGTGCAGCAGGGGTCTGGGGGAGCATAGTGGCAGATTGTCACATACATTTGGACTTACCTTCTGATGCTTGGATGTTATCATGGTATTTTTTATGTTAATATTTCTTTTGGGCTTTAGGTGACATTCATGGACAGTACAGTGACTTACTGAGGCTTTTCGAGTACGGCGGTTTTCCTCCTATTGCCAATTACTTATTTCTTGGAGACTATGTGGATCGTGGCAAGCAGAATTTGGAGACGATATGCCTTCTGCTTGCCTATAAGATCAAGTATCCAGAGAACTTCTTTCTTCTTAGAGGAAATCATGAATGCGCTTCTATTAATAGGATTTATGGATTTTATGATGAATGCAAGCGGCGTTTTAATGTGAGACTTTGGAAAGCTTTTACGGACTGTTTCAATTGCCTCCCAGTCGCGGCTCTTATTGATGACAAAATACTATGCATGCATGGTGGTCTTTCTCCTGATCTGATAAATTTGGATCAAATAAGAAATCTACCGCGCCCGACTGCTATTCCTGACACGGGCCTGCTGTGTGATCTGCTTTGGTCTGATCCTGGCGGTAGGGATATGAAAGGATGGGGTATGAATGACAGAGGAGTCTCATACACCTTTGGTGCAGATAAAGTATCGGAATTTTTAACAAAGCATGATTTGGACCTTGTTTGCCGTGCTCATCAGGTATGGCCTTTCGTGTTCTCTTTGTTGCTATTTCTTTATATTTTTTGAATCATTCTAATGTATTTTATCCTGAAAAAATGGTTATTGGACCTAGGTTGTTGAAGACGGATATGAATTTTTCGCAGATAGGCAACTAGTGACTATATTTTCAGCTCCGAACTACTGTGGTGAATTTGATAATGCCGGTGCAATGATGAGTGTTGACGAGAATTTGATGTGCTCCTTCCAAATCCTCAAGCCAGCAGAGAAGAAAGCCAAGTCATTGATGCCGACAAAGATGTGATGGTTGCTGCTGTAATTCTTCAATGAGGTCTGATCAACGCAGCTCTGTGTCTTCTACATATTTTATGATGTCATAGTGGTACTTTCGCTTCAGATTAAGTGGAAACTTGCACCAATATCTTCACATCAGAACAGTTGCTAGTTGTGATGATTGTTTTCTTGCTTTATTCCGTAACTGCATTCATGCCCAGTTTGTTAGTTGCACTGGTTTGTAGTAATTAGTCGACTCCAGCTCATTCTCTTTTGCCTGATTTCTTAGATTTACCCAAGGGGTTGATGCAAACGGAATATACATGCACTAGTGCTATTCCTATTTTCAACTTTATAATACCAAAAATATCTTGAGAATACTCCATTGGTTAGTGTGGCTAGATTGGAGATTTCTTCATGACTTTTGTGGATTCTGGTGGTAATAATCACATCTGAGATCTGGATGTTATCTTAATTTGAAGTAGTTGATGGGAAGCCTAGCGTACAAATTTCCTGCCATCGTCTAGCGACTCACTTTCTTTCTTTTCCCATGATGAATAATTTCGGGAAGTAGATAGAAGTGAAACCAAGTTTAGCAGATGCTGTAATTGATGACTGATTCTGATGCAGAGATTCTTCCCTGTGGCTCAGGAAGCAGCAAAAATGTGAAGATTGCTATTATATGGCTTTTTAACATCTGCATTTGATGTAAATGCCAGTCTGCTGTTTGGAAGACCGACGCCGTTGTGAAGACAACTTGTCGGGCTCAAATAAATGCCATTCTGCGGTAATTTATCTGCTGTGCTTGTTTATGTAACTGTCCTGGTAATGATGTCTATATCGATTGAACTGTTTGTTAGGGAGGATAAGAAACGGGGTGGCATTTTGGCACCTACAGATGCATTAAAATGTGCTCTCTTGCCATTAATATTCACAGTTTTTTTTTTACATGCACCAATTATATTCTTGTATGACCGTCCCAACGGCTAGTGTGCGATTCTCCTTATTGCCTAATGTGGTGGATATCTCTACTGGTTTGTGAGTTCAGTAAAGCCTCTTGGCGACATGGGTCGCTGTGCGTTGTTGCAAAGCCTGTACATCTGTCACTGCGCCTCTGTCTGCGAGGTGGTTGCTGCACAATTTATAAGCCCATGCTTGAGCTGATGAGTCGAGCCAAGCTGGGTATTGGCGTTTTGAGATTTGAAAGCTTTGTCATTGCAGGCATGGCACAAGAGGACCGGTGAATGGCCGGCTAGTCCAATGATCTGTTATAATGGGAATGACTCTTTCTACTATACTAAGCTGCTCGCATTAGAAAGAGCGATACCGGCACTTGATCTCACAAACCTGTCCACATTATTTTCTCTGAAAATGCTGTGCCGACGGCGACAAACATGGTCTCTCTTAGCAAGACTTGAACAACATGAATTTTTTAACGGTAGTTGAGAACGAGAGATTTATCCTTATACGCGTGTCGATATAGCGTTTGGTGGCAATCAACACGAGCCGGCCAGACATTATAATTATGTGCCTTCCATCGCCATTATATGTCAAAGATTAGGGAAGTAGTTAGAGCGCTTGTGGGGTCGATGTTAATGGGGGTTCAATCATGGCCCAGACAAGAAGATTGCAACTGGCCCTTCCAGGTTCGACCGACTCTCTGAGAGATGATGCAGCAAGACCCCAAAAAGGGATAGGAAGGAGAGAGATAAGTCACTACTGTTCTGTGGATCAATGATCACCTATCATGAGTTTTCAACTTAATCCATCACGGGCTAAAGGCCACTTCTTTTATGTACCATGATCATCTTGAGTTTGTACTATAAAGCGAGTCCCGCTGGTAATTTTCTGACGCTGGGGTTCAGCTGGGTACTGGGAAGCAGCTAGAATCTGAAGTGACCCTCGAGTTTAGATAGAATTTAGCCAAGTGGGCTATACTTATTTTGAAGGACAAATTCGTGGGGAACTTGCTTTTTGGCCAAGGTTGAACGAGAGATTGTTATTTAAGCTACGCAAAGAAAGAAAGTCGAGTTTAGAAGATTGGACCCGAGGAACTTTACGTATGTTCTCGGGTTCTTTAGCAAAAGAGTAATTTTTTTTTTCATAATATTTCAATTTGATAGTTTGTATCCGCAAGTCGGGAAAATTAAGTGTTATTATTATCCAATTGATAATCTCAAAAAGGGAATCACATGGATTTGCCCCTATACTTGTAGTTACTGAGAAGTAGATACAAAATAGTATATTAACGAGTTAGCAAATATTGAGGTAATTTTTAAGATGTGAAGCTCCAAAATTGTTATGATTGTTTCAATCCTCTAATGGACTTTCCTAGTTTACAAAAGGCTAGATGTTGCATGCCTAGACTGAACATTCTCTTTTAAAATGATAAATTTTTAAGATGTGAAGCTCCAAAATTCTTATGTAGAATCGAATTAATAGAGGAATTATGACTTGATTCGTAAATGTGACTCACTCCCCATATGGCACTACCCGTGATGCTCGTTCCGAGGGCTCGACTCGAGATCATTATAAATGGTACTAGAGCATTGTAGTAAAAAGAAGGTTTCATTTCAGGGCGTGTCCATTTTGCTTAATATGAATTTTGCAATGGATGTCACTTTAACTTTTTTTTCTTAATTCAAAACTTTCACAATATACAACTATTAAAGGGTAAATTCACCCGCGAGTATTTCACAACTTCCTGAAATTTAAATAATATTTTAAATTTCTGCGAAAAAGAAAAGGGGTCGCTTCTCACATTTCGAAAAGCTTAACCAATCAGGCCGTCAAATATCGTATCTTAAAGTAGCAATAACAAGAAAGGAAGAGTATTGAAAATTCCAAATCAGAACGTACTTTTACTAGTTACTTACATTTCCATCATGATTTCAATAGGATCCATAAAAAGAAAACGCGCCAAATTTATGTTCAATCTTATTTTTCTAATTATTTATTCTAGAGATAGTTTTGAAAGAAGAAGGTAAAGAGAAAAAAAAATGTGGCAAAATCACTTTTTTTTACATTTTAAAACATATACAAACATATATATATATATATATATATATATATGTATGCCACTGGGAAAAAGCATGGGCTCGCGAAGGCGCCCAATCACCCACCCTCTCCATCCATTTTTTAAATTTCTTGGCCGATTTCTCTCTCTCTCTCTCTCTCGCTCCGCATTTCAGTCCATACTTGTTCATGCTTCGAAGGTAGGGTTTTGCTCTCCCTCCCGAAAAATCCCGAAAAATCCTCCTCAAAATCGACTGCAAATCCCTCCGCATTGGCCGCCGATCTGCGGAGGGGCTTGGGGGCGATGATGAAGAGCCTGGTGGATCCGTCGGCGGCGTTCCTGGCCGCCAGCGGAGGCGACACCGTGAAGCTGTTCGACGTGTCCGTGGAGGCCGGCGATCCGTGCGCGTCGAGCTACGCGCCGTCGCCGGGGAGCCCCGTCCACTCCGTCAAGTGGAATCACACTAGTGAGTGACGGTCTCTCGTGCTGTGTGCGTGCGCGTTGTCTTTTGGGGAATTTCGGGTTTAGCTTCGAGTGTTCGTTTCTTGGTTCCGCATTTTACGCTCCGTCGGGGGCGGGATTTAGATTGCTTTACGGAGCCAAAGTGAGGATGGAGTGATCGCTTGGTCTTCGCGAAAGTGATGGGCTTGTGGTGATCCTAAATGAGGAGTTTGGATACTGGCCAATCACTATGACTCGGTGTGGGAGTGACTGGCTGTGTGTGAATTTCATGTAGGGTTGTCTCTAGTGGCGTGTATAAAGAAGATTGACAAGAATTCATATTGTGCCCGGTTAACACTTTCGGTTTTTTTTTTTTTTTTGGTTATTTTCAGATTTAGTTGTTGCTAGTGCTGGGGAAGACGGGAAGATCTCGCTTTGGAGGAAAAATGGTCAAAGCATGGGGACATTATCAGTGTCTGGGACAGATGGTGGAGACAACACTGAGGTACCCAGATTTACTCTTTAGTTCTTTCCCCATTGTTACACAAGCTAAAAAAGGGGCTCACGGGCAGTTGTTCTCTATTCCTATATGAGTGGTTACTATTTCCTGTTGTTTGTTCTTGTGCCTTGCAGTAGGTTTGGGATGTCAAGAGCAGCAAAGCTCATCTTCTTTGAATTTGTGTGTGTCCAAAAACACGTTCCTTATACAGCCACTATCTCTGGAAACTTGCTCCTCCATATTTAGCACACTAAAGAAAGAAAAATAAAACACTGTTTCTATCCCATCTGTCTTGCTTTTCGGTAGGGCTCAGAACATAGTGATTAGCAGAAAGGGGGGTGGAGACTGGTTAGCGTAACTCTAACGATCCGTTTTTTAGACTTTAGAAATTGTTACCTACGATCTTGAAGCAGATTTAATGACTTAACTTGTCCAATGTACATGAATACAATTGCAAGAACCTGCATTTCAATCTGATTTGCAATTATTGATGATTTGCCATTCCTTCTGATCTTTCATGTACAACTTTTTTTTGCGATGGGGCTACTGTTTTCTTGCTCTTTAACACAATTCTGACTCATTGCATAAGAAACTAACATGTTGCCTGAGGATCACAAGCAAAAAGAACTCAAGTTTACATGTTTGTCATGCTATCATGGCCATGGCAGTGACTTACTGTAATTTTCTCGGCTTTCAGGAATCTATCATGGCTATTAGCTTTAGCAACAAGGGATCCAGATACATATGCTCCGGGGGAAGTGATAAAGTCGTAAGAATATGGGATTTGCAGAGGAAGCGTTGCATTAAAGGGTTAAAGGGTCATACCAATACAATAACAGGTGCCATGTACAACTGTAAGGATGAGCACTTGGCTTCTATCAGTATCAGTGGAGACCTCATTCTTCACAACCTTGCATCTGGTGCAAGGGCAGCTGAACTCAAGGACCCCAATGCACAGGTCATTTATTGTTTCCATCTGAAACTGCAGCGTGGTGCTTGCTGGCTCTGCTTTGTAAGCTAATTTTATTTTGCTGGATGATTCAAGACCAGGTACTTAGGGTACTTGACTACTCAAGGATCAGTCGACACCTTTTGGTAACTGCTGGCGATGATGGGACAGTTAATCTGTGGGACACTACTGGTCGTAGCCCCAAGGTTTACTTTTATGTTTAACATATGCTTGCTATCATTGTGATCTTTTGTAACTTTATTTCAAGATCCCTGTGAACGTGGATATGGTTGTTATTTACCTGCGCCATTTCATACTGTTGCTTCTGTTCAAAGCTATGCTTGTATATTATTCTGGAGAATTGAAAATGTTGACATTTTCTGTAGTCATTTTCAATAGCTCTTCCAGAGAATTACTTGTACAAATTAGATTGCCATTTTGATTGGCAATTTAACTTCAGATATGAGATTATGGCTCCATTTCTATCGAGTGATGCTCAGTTGACCAACTGAGTTTTTTATCCACTGTCTTTTGGAAGGAGATCTTATTTGAATTTGAATGAGCATCATTGTCAGACTGCATCTTCTTTCACCTGTTAACCAGTAATAGTTTCTCTGCGGTTTTCCCTCGCCCCCACCCACACCACATAAACACCACATAGCTAGTCTGTTTCTCATTTTTAGTAAATATCCGAGGCAATGTTTTGATGGTTCCTTTGTTTTCTCTTAAGATTGCTTGGTTGAAGCAGCATTCTGCACCAACGGCTGGTGTTAGCTTTTCTCCATCCAGTGATAAGGTTTGTCCTTACACTCACTAGCAGAGACCTGCTTTTTAGTTCTTATTCTTGAAAAGAGAATATCAGATAGCTATGAGCATAGCGGATGTGAAAGATTGTCATCTTTTTTCTGGTAAGGTCTGCCCGTTATTATCGGTGATCCAAACACTATCGATGATTCTAATATCCAGAATTCCTGTGGCAGATGATCGCTAGTGTTGGTTACGATAAAAAACTGTATACCTATGACTCTGGATCTAGAAGGTTCTCTTCTTGCACTTCTTATGAAGCACCTTTCTCTTCATTGGCTTTTAGAGATGATGGATGGATATTGGCTGCTGGAACCAGCAATGGTCGCATAGTTTTTTATGATGTCCGGGCAAAGCCTCAACCTTTCACTGTTCTTCGTGCTTATAGCAGTTCAGAGGTGATCGATATTTTCTGTAATTACCTTTAGGCATGAAACTTCCAAACTTGGATACTTGTCTGTTTGTAGTTGGTTCTTTGTAAATCTTTTTTTGTGTTGTGAATGGTCTCCTTAATATGCACATAGAACTACCTAAGCAAGTCTTTGTTTTCTTGTATTTCATTGAACTGTTTTTCCTGTTCTCCAATACTCCCATCAAGTCCCCTTAACACTGATTTTTTGTCGCAATAATTGCTTGTAACTATTCATGGGTCCTTCCATGTCTTTTACAAGAGTAGAGCATAGTCTTTTTTCCCCTTTTTTCTTAACTTTGGATTGTTGACCTGATAAGGAATGAAATTGAGTTGGATATGTTAGTGGGCATGGGCTAGCACGGGGTCCAGAAAACAATTACTGAGCCTGTTTTTTTATGTGAGATTGACGTGCATAAAGGATGGCCACTCTGTGTGTCTCCATGAATAGAGAAGCATGTTGGTATGCAAATGTAACCAATATGATGAGGCATTTGTTGCATAAATCTCCTTTCACACAATGTTTATTGGATGGTAGTGGGTTATATGACAATACAGGAAGGCATTTGTATGAGGGAATACATGAAATAAAATGAGTTACAAGATAATGCTATAAAAGATTGAAATTGAGTTTATTGCTGATTTTTCTGCTTTGTCTGCTGGTGTCTCCATCTATTATATTCATTCTTGATTCCTGAATTGAAGGCAATCAATGCTGGTTTTGGATCTGGCATCATGTTACAAAATCCAAGTATTTCTTCTTTTAGATATATTTGGTTGAACTTTCTCTTTCCGATTCAAGACCTCTCTTGAACATTAGCATGCCAGATGCAGCCAATGTATTTCAGTTCGTTTTATTGTATGAACAACTGAGGGAATTACCCTGGTTTTGGTATAGTGATATATACTTCTTTGTCAATTGGATAATGGTATCTCTCTTCCCGCTCCACAGAATGGAACAGCAGTAATGGTGCCTGCTGCTTCTTGTGGAACTAAATTTTGTAATGAATGATGGAAAAAGCATATCTGCTGCAGGCTTTTTTTGTGCTTTATTAAAATGGCTGTGAACTTAGAATTTCGCTATCATTATTTAATTGGTGAGGAAACTTTTCAGTAACTCTGATTAGAAAATAGGCCTTGATATCCTAGTCTTACTATATACTGAGTTTTTGTGGTATTAATCAGGCTGTTACGAGTTTATGCTGGCAAAGAGCCAAACCAGTTATTGTGAACGAGAGTAACTGTTCGGCTGAGACTGCTCTTCTTGGAGGTGCTGATGAAGAATCAATACTTATGCCGGATCCGCTTCCCTCCGCAGCATCATCGAACCTTACAATGTCTACGTCGGTATCTGGCTCACGTAATCCTGGCCGATCAAGTCTTTCTCTAGATGCAACTTCGCTGACAACAAGTAGCAGTGGATTAACCATGAGCACGCAAAATTTGGTTTCATCTGAGGAAACACCCAACAGAAGCCATCTATGGCCTGGTGGCACATTGGCTAGGTTGCATGCTCCGCGTTCTACATTTAACCTGAGGGATGACATGGAGGTTTTCTCTCCCCTTGTCGACGTCCAGCCAATTACGCCCTCACTTGATAAACTATGGAACGACGATGATGGTAGGAAGAAAGATCTTTCTGCTCTTGATAAGAGACCTTCTTCGCTGTTGTTTCCTTCATCCAATCGACGGTATCCCTTTACTGAGGATGGAAGTAACATTCATCCTATATTTGATTGGAAATCTGGCTCCAATTCAGGACAGGTTTGATACTTTCACTTGTCCCATGAAAATGCTATAGCCTTTCATTTGTGATACCTATTGTGAATGTGACTGTGCTCATACAGACAGTATGGCAATTTTTGTTTGCTTCCTTAATTGAGAGCCAGATTTACGTTTTGGCTCTTTTGAGGCAAAGGTAGAAGATGGACCAGGCCTATTTGTCTTCATACAAACAGTCTAGGAGTTTGATATGATTTTGATTTCAAAGTCATTTTAATATTTTGGTTCGCATTTCCTGGATTTCCCAGTTTTTCTTTCAATGAAGAGTAGAAGGCATCCTATTTTGTTAGATTATAACTCTATGTGGGATTTTGTCGGAAGACATTCTGTTTCGCTAGAGTAACTCTGGTGGATTGTTACCGTCTTACCGTAAATCAGGCCACTCACACATCTTATAGGAGTTATTTGTGAAAACCATGTACGGTTTCTTTTCTTTGTGCAGGATGAAAATCGAATTTTAACACAGCTTGGATCTACTCCACCTCCATCATCCAAGAGTGAAGATTCTTCTATCACTCCTCCAGAAGCTTGGGGTGGGGAAAAGGTATTGGACAAATATGCTCATCTTCGTCAACCTCTCACTTTGCCCTCTCGTCTTGGAACGTTAGCTGGAAGTCAAACATCAGGATCAATGTTTTCGTTCCAAGATTTTCCCTCATCAGTGAGCCCGACAAGTATCAGCTCTTTAACAAGTTCAAACTTCGATTACCCAAATCTGCGGAGTAAAGATACTTCCAACATTCAAGAGACTCCACTTGGATATTCAGAACTCCCTCCCTCTAGTTCATTGTCCTTGTCTTTTGGGCCGAAAGGCGTGATGGGACAAACTACAGTGGAATCTTCTGGAACAGCATCTCTGACCCTGCCACGGCGATTTTCCACTTATGCTGAGAGAATAAGCACTACTTCTTCCTTCAGTGACGGACCATCCAATTCAGTAGGTTCACCAAAAACCAAGAAAACAGGAATTGAAACCAAGGAAGAGCTTCTTAGCAGTTTGTTATCTAGGTCAGAAACATCAGCCGCCTTGGAACCAGGGACTCTTCCAACAATCAATGTAAGCTTTTCAAAACTGTTTGAGGAATGTTTTGTTCTAGAAACCACAGAATGTTTTTGTCTCTGTCTCATGATGGGGGAGTACCATCTACTTTCTTTTCATGTCACTTACGATGGATATATGTTACATCGTTCAATGAATTATAGTTATTAGTGGTGGCTTTGAAGGCGAATTCTTGTCTGCTACACTGTACATGTTCAGTATGATAAGATCTAATCAGTAATATGTTACTTTTACAGGGAGGAATACCACATTTTCAGAGGACATCTCATGTGGATTCACAGCAGGGAAGTTCCTTTACATTGCAGCTCTTTCAACGAACCCTTGACGAAACCCTAGTTTCCTTTCAGAAATCAATTCACGAGGATATGAGAAATCTACACATTGAAATATTGAGACAATTCCATATGCAAGAGGTATGCTCATATACATTTTTCCTCCTCTCTCAATTTTCTCTGATTATTTCTTGCTTCAATTGAACAGATGGAAATGTCGAGAGTGATGGCCTCAATTCTGGAAAATCAAGCTGAGTTGATGAAAGAAGTCAAATATCTTCGCAGAGAAAATCAACAGCTTCGCCAATTGCTTTGAGATAAGAGATAAGAGAACTTAGCTCGATCATTTTTGCCGGAAAACGGTTGAATCTCTCTTCCTTTCAGTGTTTAGAGTCTCTCGATTGCTTTTGTTTGACTCGATGAAGAGCGACAGTTTTCTAATTAAAGTTCATGCGGGGGGAGTGCATAGATGCTAAGAGAGATAATGCAAATGTACTATGTGATGTAGGAATTCACTGTTGTACAGAGTCATTCTATTCTGGTGATAGTGTTCTTCAAGCCAGCATAAGTTTGTGTGTAATATGTATCAGATACGTTGAGCTTGTTTGTAGCTTCGATTTGGCAGAGTGGTATTGGTTTTCTTCTGTGATAGTATTCCAAATGTCATGACTCACCGATAAAGGATCTATTGTCCTTGACTTAAGGAAGCCTCTTCAGACATTAATGGGAAGGACTGTGCACTCCTGTAGTATCGGCTTCGCAATAGAATTTCCAAATCAGGATTTTGGATCAGAACTAGTAACTGCTCAGTAGTAACTGCTCTTTCACATACATAATCTTATGAAAGAAGAACAGGATGTTTGAAAACCGTGATAACCAACTAGAAGCTTCCTGGTTTTTTGGTCAAAAAAAGCTTCCTTTATAATGGGGCAGATTTTCGATCGGGGAATCGGTAAGATTAACATGTCTGATCTTCCAAAATCTCTTATCAGGAAGTATGCATAGGCAACGGTTTAGTTGTACAAGTCCATTTTGTTTCTCTCTTATTTGACATGGGGTAAGTGCAAAAATTCGGACTTGAGGTCTGGTCGTCGGTCAATTGATGGCTTTAAGGACTTAGTTTTTATTGGGTGGAATTCAAGCGTCAAAACTCCCTGGAATATTTGGTCTATCTTACTTCTGAATCCAACCAAGGGCGTGCTCTAGATCTGATTGTGATTTACGTCAAAACCTTAAAAGCACAAATTATCCAAAAAATAATCCTGTGATTGCTATGCACAGATTACCAGTTGACCAAAATGGGCGATTGAACTGCACATTTAGAAGTCGCAAAAGGAGGCCAATCCACTGTTTGCTTCTCCAATGACGTTCGAGCAAAAATACAGTTCATGTTAATAGAAGTCTTTCCGGTCAACACAACAGAGCCTGTGTTCTTCTGTAAAAGGGAGAAAAGCCCACTCTTAACAGATATCCAAACAACCTTCTCTGCTTCGACTATTGCTCAAATGCTCGACGTCAAATAAATTACATCAAATAAGTAGAATAATGGCAGAACGCCGAAAAAAAAAACCTGTGGGTGCTGAAGAATGTCCTGACAGTTTGAGAACAAGCAATGCAGTTTCAGCATTTCAGTAGAAGATCTTTTGCTAGTGTGCAAGGGACAAGTTCCATCCAGGACACATCCAACTCGTCCGCGATGCAACGAATTCCGCAGCAAAGCAATCTAAGAGGGCTTCGAGTGGGTTGACAACTTCACCTTTTAACAAGTCTCAACACGTCACCCATGAGATGTAAAGAACCAGTCACAAGAACCTAAAACATTATCCCAAAGAAATAACTGTAAGTTAAATGATACGATCATCCAGTAGTAAAGGAACACAAAAACGTCAAGTTGAAAATTAGCGTGCATTTCTAGGAAATTTGACCCCATTTGATTTTATTAAGCTTGACAGGCGATCCATCCTTCTGCAAGTTGAAAGTTTATGTCATGAAAGTTTTATCAAGCCAACAGTCCATGCACCGGTTGAAAGCATTTCAGGCAAGTCAACCATACGTGAAGATTCTCATCCTAGAAGATTACTATTTCACTCTCGCTCCTTGTTCATAAACTAATGTGAAATTTGAAGGCAAATGGGCAAAATGATTAACACGTGACAAGTTTTCATAAGCTGAAAGAGTATCATAAAGAAAACTAGAAAAGATACAAGTCCTCTTTTTCCTTATGCAAGTATCGAGAAAGCACGCATGATATTGGCAGAAAAGGATGCATGTAAAAAGAAAAGGTAAGAGAAGTACCCTTTTGCTAGGATTGCAAAATACAAAATTGTAGTTTCGATTCCTGGATTTGACATTCACCAAGCTTGTGCTTCTAAATATATTGATACGGGATTCTTTCAAACATAATCATCTTAACCATTAATGTCTGATTGCTGGTAAAGAAATATTAGTAGTGTATTTCTCACTAGATTCGTGCCCAGGCTTCTGCAGCATTTCTGTTGTCAAGTCCCCCACTATACTTATCGATTGGCTATCCATAGTTATGTACCAACTATGCAGTCAATTACCAAAAATTGTGCTTAACATCACCCAAAAACCAACATGGACGAATTAGTTAAGAATTAACATTACATTCGAGCCTGAGTTACACTTAGTTTTTTTCCAAATACAAGGTGCTATAATCAAGCGAAAAAATAATACGAAAAACCGGAATGATACAAAGGAAGTAAGGTGTCTATTTTGAAATATCTAAGTACCTATGTTAATTGGGAATTTAGTAAACACGGCTAGCAATCACCGTGTTGGACCTGCATGATAATATGTGTGAAAGTTGTACAGTAGCAAACCAACAAACTGATACGAAGTATTAGGTAGACGAGCTTGCACAGTAAAAGGCATAGGATATGCTAAAGTTGCTTACCTCTAGATGTTGGAAGACTTTCGAAATTTGCTAAATTCTGCAGAAGAGAAGAGGCAAGCTTCTCGATCTGAACTCACCGCCAAACATCAGAAGCTAAATGGCATCTGCATCCTAATGTGCCGTCTGATAATCGCCTTGGTTTCAACACTTGGACGTTTAAGCTTGTTCTTTTCTATTTCCTTATCAGAGCATAGAGAATTTGGAGTCCCAACTAGCTGACGCAGCCTCCGAGAGAAGCAAAGCAACCGAAATGATATTTTCACTTCAGGTGAGAGTTTTTCCTTCCGACCTTTTTTCCATGTTGGGTGCCTATTGACAACAAATGAGCAGCATCCGAGGACAGTATTGCAGTTATTTGCTCTATTTTTTTGGTGAAATAGCATAACCGTTGATGCGGTTGAATAGCATTTGCCTTAGGCTCCTAGGGGCTTATTTCGGCTTCTAGAATAAAGAAATGACTTAGTACGTTGATCTCGTATAGATGTTGCAATTTCCAATGTTGTGGGCTAAGATATGCTTAGAAGCTTGAGAACTTCTCAACTTTAAGTTTGACTGCTTATCCATTGTATTTACAATCGAGATTTCCATAAAAAAGGCATCATCATGACCGAAATTCTCGAAGCGACTAACCTTCAGACCAAAATCTTGAACCAAACTGCCAACATCATGCAATGCTTCCCGTCTCCTCTCATCTTCATTGCGGCTCATTCTTCCAGGATCGACCATCTTGTCGAGGTTTGGAGAGGGCGAGAGAGGAGCGGGAGAGGAGGGTTTTAGAGCGGAGCTCGCGTGAGAGTGAGAGGTTTGGATTTCAAAACCCTACCTCCCCTTTTTAAAATGTCGAGAGAGGACGAGAGACGGCAATGACGACATAATTGTTGATCATCTATTCCTTTAAAACTCTGCAAAAGAGATCATTTATTCCTTACAATTATCTTAATTAAGGAAAATGTTGTCCTTTTTTTTTCTTGCAATTCAATTCAAAGCTCATCTTGTAAATAATAAATATTAATAATTATCAAAGCATATGTTTAATATGGGATGCGATAAACTTTGTTTTATTTAACTTCCTCCTTTTTTGTCCCACCTTTAATTATATAAATAGTGTACTCGTACAACTTCTTAGGGATAACATATTTCCTTTGATTATTAGTATTAGGATTCTTAATTTTCTTGCAATCTATTTATTGCTTTTGGTTATTGAGTGGTACATCATTGCTTACGCACCCATATGATCACCTCACATCTTAGTGGCTAGATTTCAAAATTAATCCATGCTGCTTGCCAAAATATTCTTTTTAAATAAAAGAGAAAATGTATCGAAAAAGCGTTAGAATAATCTAGCGTAATCAAGTCTTCGAATCCATTTAATCTCCGATTCGTAGAAGTAAAGTACACTTCAACACTTTGCTTGCTCTTCTAATTGACCCACCAAAAATAAATTAGTTATCGACTCTAAAATAAAATTGATTTGCATGTTAAGAATTTGAACCTAAAGTTGCGAATTTGTATGAGCTTAGGGGTGCTCGAGCTAAGTACATGCTTAATAATCTATTAGCCAACTCAAGTGGTTCACTCGAGGGAAGGTTGTTACATGACTTAATTAACAAAAGTTATACTTTAAATCGTAAGTATTATTATGTATTTCTTTTTTTCACTCAAGTTTAAATTAATTGGACAAATTATATTTTTAAAGGTGATTTATTTTTATTTACTTTTTTTTTTTTGCAAACTTAGAATCAATGAGATAAGTCGAAAGAGATAACTGTTTCGGAAAGATAATGGAAATTTTATCTTTATCTCTATTTGTATCTATTTTATTGGTAAATACATTTATAAGTACCTTCGATGATACTTTCTTCTCATTCAATTTTATTTTGAATTTATAAATCACTTTTTGTACTTATGTTTGACGTGCTTAGGAGGTATAACATTATAGCGTTGTAGTCAACGAAAATATTAAGCTAAATACGAAATGCCACTATCTCAATGCCCATCAAATTTTTTCACATGCAATTATCATAATGATTATAAGGATTAATATCACCAAAAACCTCAAAGTGGTACATTTGTGCCATATTTATCACAAACTCATTTTTGTGCAAAAGAAAATCCAAACCGGTACACCCGTGTCACATTTACCCTTCATTAGAATCCAAGTCCGCTCGAGAAAACTTTTGTCACGAGGAACATCCCAACAAAGTATCCAAAAGTTGTTGACAGATGAATGTTTCCTCAAAACAGTTTATGCAATTGCAATGACATAGAGGAGGCATGGAACGGGTAAATCATGGCAACATACTCCAAATAAGTTAAAATAGTATATAACCAGAATCCCAAGCAAAGCATTTATCATATACCTTATCTTCTCTGCACTACAACTATGTTTCAGCCAGTCCTCATCATGATGCGAACCACCCCAATTTCGGTCGTTTTGGTAATCTCGCCGACCTTGTGCGCTTAAGTTGCTTCAGTCGCTTCCTCGAAAGGTCTCTGCCACTGGTGGCCTCGTCCATAAGGACCTGCAGCAGTATTAAGAGTTTGTGAGATTATATAGCGATTCTTCGTCATGCTACACACTGAAGAACGTCACACAAAGTCCTTTTTGTTCCTTCAATTCTCTTCTCTCTTTTTTTTTTACTTTTTGGTTTTTTGGTAGAGGTAGATATCTGACAGTGCAGAGCCAGGAATCTGAACCTAACTCACTTCACATGAAGCTGCAGGATAGTTTACCAGAAGAAAATGTTCATCAAGGCATGTTTACACACTACTGTGAATGCACATTGGAAAGAAAGTCAAATCAAAAGAAAGAAAAGCAGGGAAAAAGATGTCTCGACGTTTATAAAAAATACTGAGCACATTGTTGACTGCGATTTCTTAAAATTAAAATTTAGTATAAACTCATGCACGTATCACCCTGTCCAAACCACATGGGTCAAGCTCTTGAGAAAGTACCGAGGAGCTGTCACATTAATGCAACTCTCAACTTATGTATCCATCCCTCTTCATCTGAAGTAGGAATGGGGATCTAACAAATTTCTTGCCACTCCTAAACAGAACAAGGAAGTGCAACCATTTCAAACATCGTGTACATTAGCTCTTTAGGATAACAAAAAGAGAGGGACACTGTTAATAATCAGTAGAATGCTCAACACTGCTTAGTAATTTTAGAGTGAGATGGGATTCTCCAATAAGTTTATTCCATTAATAGAAGAGCACTAAACAAACCAAGTCTTTTCTCTGTTAATATGAGGATATCTTCCACAGGCACAACTAAGCCCAGTTTCAAGTTCCACCATCCCCCGATGCTATATATCACCCCGGAAGAAGGAAACTATAGAACACAACAATCAATTTCAAGCCATTCAAACCATGTCTTCTCTCTTGTGATGAGCGTTGGGGGGGTTGGGGAAGGCTCAATTGGATAATACTTTGTATCATGTTCGTTCATTTTTGTAGTTAATGACATTCTTTTCATCGAGAAAATCCATGTTACCTGATATAAAAGTCAGTTAACTTCCTTATTGAAGTAAACGTGCTAATTAGCCTTTGTATGAAGGTGGTTTTTGATGGTTTGACGAGAGTGGAAATGTTTGGTTTAACTTAGTGAAACTATTTGTATTCTGTACTTTGGCCTCCTCTCATAGCTAAAACTGGTGTTTTCTAGTCCTCCATTAAGACAGGTGCAATAGAACCACATTAATCTTGCGTTTCTTTGGATTTTGCATTCTTGTTTGCATCACATTGATTTAGTACAAGAACACATTCATCTTTTATTATGCTGTCCCCGACACTAAATATAGATCAAGGCCAGGCCAAAAACTATTCCAAGCACAAGATCACATTCATGTTTTCTTTACACTGTCCCCAACAGTTAATATAATAAAACTCATGCCAACCAAAACTATTCCAGGTACTGCATATATTGTGTAATTAGACCCCAGAGCAAAACTTGACTTCTTCGCCAGAAAAGCTAATCAAATGGAAGAATCGTTGAAAAGGCCAAGATAGTAACTAAGAAATTTCTCAAATTCACCATTTTAAGGTGTAGTTATAGGTCTGACCAAAAGACAAAGGTGTAGTTATAGGAACGAGGAAGACAAAGCTTGAAGCTACAGATTATCATGACATAACAAATAGGTTGGGGAATACGAAGCATGTTGGTGCCTCAGATTTAATATTTTTTGTGCCCTTCCTCAAGGAACTTTTCGGACAAGCACTTTCTCAGCTCATTCCACCAAGGAAGATGAAAAAATCTAAACGAACTAATTGAACAGGTTGGTCCATTCACTTTCTTGTCCACAACATATTGCACTGTCCAGAATTTAAGCAGATCTAAAGAAAGTAAACACACAGGCTTCAACTCATCTGAAGCTCACCCGAACTTGAACAAGAAGGTAGCAACTTCAAACGAGGCAAACCAAGGAAGATGAAAGAAATCTAAATGTACTAATTGAAAGCGAATGAACAGGGTAAACAACAAATCCAACAGACATCTACCCAGCAAGATAGACATTAAACTGGTAAAGAACTTATATCCACCCCAAGAACATCTCAAACCCTTTAAACCTTGAAAACAAAAATTTTACTTGCGCCCAGCTGATCTACCGATAGATAACCCAAAAAGAGCACAGGGTTAAGAAACAGAGCGGCAAGAGATAAGAAGTACCGAATACTCAGGACAGTTGCTGACATCCATGTACCCAGCATCAACAAAAACCTTCTCTCTCTTAGCCAATTCAATGTCCTCGTCGACCATCATCTTCACCAAGTTCTCGAACCCAACGCTGGGCTTCCAACCCAACACCTTCTCGGCCTTTCTTGCATCTCCCTTGAACGTGTCGACCTCCCTTGGCCCGAAATACCTATCATCGATCACCACATGGTTCCAACATTTCAGCCCCACATACCCAAACGCCACGTTCAAGAAGTCCCACACCGTGTGCGACTGCCCCGTCGCCACCACGTAGTCGTCCGGCTTTTCTTGCTGCAGCATCTTCCACATCGCCTCCACGTAGTCCCCAGCGAACCCCCAGTCCAGGGAGGCCTCCAGCTTCCTCAGGAACAGCGTGCTCTGCAGCCCCATCTTGATCCGCCCCACAGCCCTCGTGATCTTCCGGCTCAGGAAGTTCTCGCCCCGCCTCGGGGACTCGTGGTTGAACAGGATCCCGTTGCACACGAACAGCCCGTAGGCCTCACGGTAGTGCATGGCGTACCAGTGCGCGGCGCACTTGGACACGGCGTAGGGGGCCCGCGGGTAGAACGGGGTTGTCTCAGACAGCGGCAGCGGGATCCATCCGTATTCCCCCCGAGTCCCGGATTCAAAAGACCGCGGCGGCGGAATCGATCCGAACATCTCCGAAGACCCAGCCTGGCAGTAACGGATGTGGCTGCGGCCGGTAGCGGAGACGTGAGAGCGCACGGCCTCGAGGAGTTGGAGGGCGGCCGTGGCGACCACATCGGCGGTGTAACCAGGCATCTCGAAGGAGACCGCCACTTCGTACTGGTCGGCGAGGCTGTAGACCTCGTCGGGGCAGATCGTGTCGATCCAGCGGCGGAGAGAGGAGCCGTCGGTGAGATCGGCGTCGTGAAGCTTCATCCGGGCCTTGTGGGCGTTGTGGGGGTCGATATAGATGTGGTCGACTCGTCGGGTGTTAGGGTTGGAGGAGCGACGGATCAGGCCGTGGACCTCGTACCCTTTGTCGAGCAAGAACTCGGCGAGGTACGATCCGTCCTGGCCGGTAATGCCGGCGATCAGGGCCACCTTGCGGTGGCGCTGCGGCGGCGGCGGCGGCGGGGCTTCGACGTTGGCTCCGGATCCGGATTTGGGCGTGTCGTTCTGGGTCGCCATCGTCGCGTAGGATGGCGAAACGGGTCCGCTCGCCAGATGTTCGTGGGAATGCCTGAGAGAGAAGGATGGCTCATGGCGGATTCGAAGGAAGTGGGACTCTAGGGTTTTGAGGAGATGCAGAGGGAGATGTGTGGGAGGAGGTTTCGGGAGATTTTTATGAGGTGGAAGAGGAACAGATACGCGCTTTTTTAACTGACTAATGAGATCATGGGGCTTTTCTTAAGACCCGAGAATGTCTTGATCGTCGATTCTGAAGATCCATGTGCCAAAGTATCCGATGCTGGAGTTTCTAAACGCCTCTTTGGGCATCAATCTTCCCTTGGTAAAGCCTGACTCCGGATGGCTGGCCCCAGAGCTTTTAAAAATCCCGATGAGAGCCCAACGAGTGAGAGCGATATGTTCAGCATAGGCGCTCTTATATTCTATTGTGTCACTCAGGGAAGTCATCTATTTGGTGACTTTCCAGAATGTGACGTGAATATAAAGAAGTTTAGAGTGAACAATTTCCCGGCGACGTTCAGTAGAGAAGCTTCTCATCTTATGTATGGATTACTAAACCGGGTTCCCACGGTGAGGTGAGAGATCTCTCATTGAGCTAACGCTCTTATAGAGATTGCGACAATTTATTTGAGCATGTTGAGCTAATGCTGCTAGTTCTTTTCATTGCTGGTAGGCCAACGGCAGCGGTCGCGCTTGTACATCCATTCTTTTGGAGTCCAGAGAATAGGATGACCTTTTTTTGTGACATGTCCGATAAAGCACAATGGTGTATTGTGGCTGATCCCACTTCCACTCTTCCTTTTGAGTTGGATAACAAAGGTGGCTTGATCTTTGGTAGGAGTTGGAGAAGCTGCTTAGATCCTGTACTTAAGACTGACCTGTTAAATGTGTATTTTAATTACTCTAGAGTCACAGATCTATTACGAATGTTGAGGAACAAGTGGGTTCACAGGTCTGAACATTTACCGCCATTCAAGTACTCTTTATGGAGCTATTGACGCTTTGTGAATTAGTTTGCTTTTGATCTCTTTACCATTTAAGTTAATGATGGCTCTTGCTGGCGCTTTTCAATCCATTTCCCGATGGTCAAGAGAAATACTTCTCAAAAAAATTTCCGCATCTCTTGTTGGAGACGCACAAAGTGGCATTGAAGTTCTGCAAGAGTGATCCAACCTTTAGAAAGTACTTTGAAATAGGCGAGTATTGATCCTTTGGCAACAAGAAGACCCAGTTTTCTTAATACTCACGTGGGACCAATATTCATGTGAAGGTAAGGGCTTCCCTCAGCAAAAGCGAAGGGCCGTATTGGGAAATTTTTTTTTTTGGTCGAAGTATAGGGAATTTGAAGTACATATCATTTTACTGCCCTATTTGGTCTTTATGAGAGGCTCGATTCCATTTAGGAAATTGAAATGGTCAAACTAGGAAACTCCAGCTGCAGCCTGCAAAGCAAACTTGCCAAAAGCACAAGGCCAACAACTTTTGCTTGCCTTTGTTCTACGTTACGGAGTCATATGAGTCAGGACACAAATCAAACATCATAAAACAGTCGGCCCCAATTAACGCGGATCACCATAGGTGGCAATTAATCTGCCTCAATCTTCTAAAATTAGGATTTCAGCTAAAGGGTTCCTCTCATTTTCATCAGAATCTTAGGCACCAGCTGTATCAAAAACGGATGTGTTGCCCTCAAATGCAAATCCGTCCAAAACAAGTTATTGGGTTGGAGGTTTATTTCCATACTCATAGAAGCCATCGACTAGTTTCCTAGGGTAGACCACCACATCGAGCATACATAACCCTCCATCTGTTTATGTTAGTGCTTCATTTCTCTCATCCTCCTCCGGTGATGTTCTGCCGGTGATTCCCGTCGTTCCATGGGGACTCAGGGCGGCGACGGTGATGTAAGTCCGCTGCTGATTTACTTAGTCCTAGTGTTGAGTGATTCGGTCAAGATCGTCATATCTATAGGACGAACTGTTGCTCGCTTTCGTGATTAATGGTGAATATGTTATGTGGTTTGATCGAGGACAGGACGACGGACGATCGGCGAAGCAGAAGGAAATCGATGATTGGCTTCCGATCACGTCTTCCAGGAATGCGAAATGGCGGTACTCAGACCTTTCACAACGTCGCTGCCATGGTTGGAGCTGGTGTTCTGAGTCTCCCTTACGCAATGTCAGAGCTTAAATGATAACGAACTCTAAAATCGAACCTAATATTTCGAATCAAAACTATACAAAGCTGAATCGAGTCATACAAAAAGATTAGATGCTCAAATCAAGATAGAGTCTTTTAACTCAGAAGAACATCAAAATCTTTCCTTAAACCGGGTATAAAGTAGTTCCATAACTTAGCACAATATCTTTTTGACTCCTGTTAGACTCAGGGGTCCTGGTGTGGTAATATTGGTACTGTCATGGGTCATCACACTGTACACCCTGAGCAAATGGTGGAGATGCACGAGATGGTCCCTGGGAAGCGTTCGGCGAGAAACTCGGCCTCTAGCTGCTTGTTGAGGTCGGTGTCGACATCGTGTACATGGTCACGGGAGGGAAATCGCTGCACAAGATTTACAACTTGGCCCAACCGAATGGCAAATCTCTCAAGACTACGTATTTCATCATGATATTAGCTTCAGCTCATTTTGTTCTCGCCCAAAATTTGACTCGATATCCATGGTTTCTTTGGCAGCAGCCGTCATGTCCTTAAGGTGTCAACTTCTTTTGTTCGTTCCCCCCTTCATACAACCACTACTGGCTCCAAGAAGTGCAAAGCCGTAGAAATTGATCTTCAAAGTTGGAAGAACATTACTTAGTCTTAAGGTCTATCGCAAGGGAAAGGGAACTTCAAATTATTTATAAGCTTTTAGTGTATGCACGTCAGCTGGATGTTGTCCTTGCAGCTACTCGACCACCGCGTGGACGGCCTCCGTCCACCCACAAGGCTGTCGAAAAGAACATCGACCACAGCTCTCGAGCCTCCACCACCTCCTGAAAGGTATTCAACTTCCTCAGTGCCCAAGGCGACGTTGCGTTCGTATACGTGGGCCACAATGTGGTGTTGGAGATCCAAGCCACCATCCCTTCGACCCCGGAGAAGCCATCCAAGGGCCCAATGTGGAGAGGGGTGGTGGTCGCCTACATCGTCGTGGCGCTGCGTTACTTTCCTGTTGCACTACTCGGGTACTTGGTGTTCAGGAATAAGGTCGAGGACAATACTCTCATTTCGCTCGAGAAGCCTAAAGTGGTTGATCATCCTGGCCAATGCATCGGTCGTCATCCACGTCATTGTTAGCTACCAGGTATAATCTCTTGCACAAACTATGTTCGTCTAATTGCGTCGTGCAAAGAGTTTGAAAGAGTCGCAATTGCTTTAGACAGTATGTTATGATCGACTTGCTCTTCTCTGATATGCAAATGCTCTGGTCTAATTCTTCGACACTACTACATATACGTCCTCATTCAGCGATGATGTGAAATTTGAGACTCAAGACATCCTTCTCACTGAAAATGACTGAAAGAGTGGTGAAGCACATGCCCAAAAAGAAGAAGAAAAAACAAAGAAAGAAAGAAAGAAATCTTCTTTTGGACAATGGAATAGCCGATCGAACTAAATGAGTTATTCAGCTTCACTGTGCAATGTTTTAATCACGTGGAATGCAGCTCTATGCAATGTTTTGAAAATAATGATCGAGACGAAGTCTTGATCTCGTCCGGCCTCCCAATTCCCCGGATCTCCCACCCGTCCGCATTGCGATGATGCCCGAAAACAGGGGATTGTTGAGCGTCTTTGAGTAAGCGCGTACGGCGAGGGAGGATTTAACACTGAATCGACATTCGAATAGAACAACTCATTTGAAATAGAGTCAATCTGGACTCGGGTACGGAGGTTGAGCCCCCTTGATGATTCATGCTATAACTAAGGACCGTGTAATTTTGGGGTGGGGGGAGTATGGTTGTGATTTTGATCGCATTGCATGATTTGACCTCGTTTTGTTAGTAGCGATTTTTAGGCGGTTTTACCGATGAGATAGACTTAGGAAGTTAAGAAATAGATTTCGTACGGGAAAACAACTCAGACGGTCCCGAACATGTTGTACAAATGCCAGTTTTGTCTTAAACTTTTCAATTTTGCCAATTTAGTCCTAAGCCCTTTCGCGAAATTTCAATGCAGTCCTTCTTGCCAATTCTCGCCGGAAATCAATGACATGGCTGTCCTGTCATCGCCGGCCATCGAAATTGACAAAATTAAAAAGTTTATAACAGAATTAACATTCATGCATCGCCGGCCATCGAAATTGGCAAAATTAAAAAGTTTATAACAGAATTAACATCCATGCAATAGGTACGGGACCGATTGGATAATTTCCACGATTTCGTACAATGGGCGCAACCGGGTACAACATTCCAATTGGTTGTACGCGCACGCCTTCCCTTTGTCTGCAATTGGTTGTGCATCACATGTACTCAATCCATGTAGGTGTAATTAAGTCAGATCGACTTAATGCGACGGATTATAATCACTAATCAATCTTGTGCAATTACTCCACAACTTACAAAATAGAGTTTTATTTGTCGAATCCTTGGCAAATCCAATGGAATGACAAACGGAGAAGGATAACGTATCTCTCGCTCCAATCAATTGGTCAGTTGACATTGCTAGCCTGAAAAGATAATTGAAATCTTACGAACATTAGAGTGGTTAAACGCTTTACTCTTGAATGCAACAAATTCTCTTGTCGAAACAAAAGGATGGGTTCTCCCGTCAAATGTAATCTTGGCGGCACGCATGTCGCCTTATAGGGTAGAGTCTTATCCGATCAATACACACGAAAAGAACGATTTTTGAAATTAGTTGAGCCAATTCATTCGAAAATGTTCAAATATTCCATTTTCTTCACTTTAGAAAAAGATAATTGGAATCTTGTGGAATCCATTATTCCAGTTAACAAAAGGAAGATTCATAGTTCGGGGTAATCAAATGCCCATTCTTAGTTCATTATTTGTTGCTCAAGTATTGGTTGGCCCAAAAAAAAAAAATGGTCGCGCTGGAATTAAAAAGAAAAAAAAATTATAATTTTGTCAATTTCATTTCGCAGTTTTTAATGCCTCTTTTTAACTTGGAAAAGCAATTTCTTTTTGGGAAGGTCCTCGATCATGCCCATTCCCATGTTGCTATTATTATTATTATTATTATTTGACCAACCCACAGTTTTGGTATGATAAGATTGAATTATCATTGCACATGATCACCAAATAAATCATCATATCAATCCACGTGATTCATTCAACCACAGGACTTTCTCTATTTCTTTCTTCAATTGCAAGCAATGAGAATTTTCATTTTTTCTATATTTAAAGACGTAAAATTGCTTACTCGATTCCATAACGTAGTTACGTCGCTCAAGTGTTGCGTGGAAGTATGTAAAGTTATCTCATTTTTTTTCTAATCCAAAAAATTACCACAAATTGACAATAAATGTCCTAAATCTCAGAATATCTCAGAATTCGGAATTAAAAATAAATATATTTTACACGACTTTAAGTGTAGGTTCCCAGGGAAATTAATTTAAAATAAGGAGTTATGATTAGCAAAGTTTGATTATGGATGCAAAATGAATGTAGGACGAATTTGACATATTGGCCTTTTCCATTCGGCTTTGTCCTCTTTGTTTTGGACACGTTGGCCTGTCGATTTACATGACATCCTGAAGATGAAATTATCATATTTTAGAACGTATGTCTTCACATTAAATGACTTACGGCTTAATTCATTAATGGAGATCCAACATGAAAGATTACACCTCTTGAACGATTGCTTTTGGGGTTTATCTCACACGGATGGGTTCGGGTCGTTTACATGTCCTATATCTTCTCCGAGTTTTATCACGGACTTTTGACTTTTAAATGAAAATTTAATTGGATTTATCGGCAATTACTATCTGGAGTGTGCCCTAGCTATACGAGTACAATCATAAGTTCGATGCACGGCTTTAGTCTTTAGAGTTGGATTTTCTTCTTGTCCGAATTTGCTGTACTTTGATAGAGAAGGCATTTTGAAGACCGTAGCAAAGCATAAGGACTTCCCCAACACTGGAATAGTAAGTTTTCCTGTTTGGGTAATTTTAACTAGCATAGTAATTTTCGCTTCATATATTCAGAACTCCACTTGGATATTCAGAACAAGTTCAAACTTCGAAGAAAATAGGAGTTGAAGCCAAGGAAGAGCTTCTTAGCAGTCTGTTATCTTAGGTCAGAAACATCAGCCGCCTTGGAACCAGGGACTCTTCCAACGATCAATGTAAGCTTTCAAAACTGTTTGAAGAATGTTTTGTTCTAGAAACCTCAAAGAATGTTTTTGTCTCTGTCTCGGGATGGGGGAAGTACCGTTTACTTTCTTTTCATGTCACCTATGATGGATATATGTTACATCGTTCGACGAATAATAGTTATTAGTGGTGGCTTTGAAGGCGAATTCTTGTCTGCTACGATGTACATGTTCCGTATGATAAGATCTAAAATTGCGATAACCAACTAAAAGCTTACCGTTTTCTTGGTCGAAAAAAGCTTCCTGTTAAACGGGGCGGATTTTTTATCGGAGAATCGGTAAAATTAACATGTCTGATCTTCCAAAATCTCTTATCAGGAAGTATGTATAGGTAACGGTTTACTTGTACAAGTCCATTTTTGTTTCTCTCTTAATTTGACATGGGATAAGTGCAAAAATCGGACTTGAGGTCTGGTCGTTGGTCAATTGATGACTTTTAAGGACTTTGGTTTTATGGGGTGGAATTCAAGCGTCAAAGCTCCCACATCTTTCGAGTGGGAATATTCGGTCATCTTCCAAGTGTTAATTCTGACTTCTGACTCCTGAATTCTACCAACGGCGTGCTCTAGGCCTGATTGTGATTTAGTTTAAAACCTTAAAAGCACAATTATCCAAAAAAAAATCCTGTGATTGCTATGCACATATTACCAGTTGACCAAAATGGGCGACTGAACTGCATATTTAGAAGTCGCAAAAGGAGGCCAATCCACTGTTGCTTCCCCAATGACATATGAGCAAAATACAGTTCATTCCAGTCAACAACACAACAGAGCCTGTGTTCTTCTGTAAAAGGGAGAAAAGCCCGCTCTCAACAGATATCCAAACAACCTTCTTCGCTTCGACTATTGTTCAAATGCTCGACGTCAAATAAATTAACATCGAATAAGTAGAATAATGGCAGAACACCAAAAAGAGATTCCTGCGGGTGCTGAAGAATTTCCTGGCAGTTTGACAACCAGCAATGCAGTTTCGGCATTTCAGTAAAGTTCTTTTGCTAGCGCGCAGGGGACAAGTTCCATTCAGGACAGATCCAACTCGTCCGCAATGCAATGTATTCCACAGCAAAGCAATCTAAGAAGGCTTCAAGCGGGTTGACAACTTCACCTTTTGACAAGTCTCAACACGTCACCCACGAGATGTAAAGAACCAGACACAAGGACCTAAAATATTATCCCAAAGAAACAACTGTAAGTTAAATGATACAATCATCCAGTAGTAAAGGAACACAAAAAGGTCAAGTTGAAACGTAGCGATCATTTCTAGGAAATTTGACCCCATTTGATTTTATTAAGCTTGACAAGCGATGCATCCTTCTGCAAGTTGAAAGTTTATGTCATGAATGTTTTATCAAGCCAACAGTCCATGCACCGGTCGAAAGCATTTCAAGCAAGTCAACCATAAGTAAAGATTCTCATCCTAGAAGATTACTATTTCACTCTGGCTCCTTGTTCAAAAAATAAGGGAAAAGTCTGAAATAAACTAATGTGATATTCTATGGTAAATGGGTGAATTGATTAACATGTGACAAGTTTTCATGAGCTGGAAGAGTATCATAAAGAAAACTAGAAAAGATACAAGTCCTCTTTTGCCTTTCGCAAGTATTGAGAAGGCCCACGTAAGAGTGGCAGAAAAGGATGCATGTAAAAAGAAAAGGTAAGAGAAGTACCCTTTTGCTAGAATTGCAAAATACAAATTTGTAGTTTCGATTCCTAGATTTGACATTCACCAAGCTTGTGTTAGTAAATTTATTGATACGAGATTCTTTCAAACATAATCATCTTAAGCATTGATGTCTGATTGCTAGTAAAGAAATATTAATAATGTATTTCTCACTAGATTCGTGCCTAGGCCTCTGCAGCATTTCTGTTGTCAGGTCCCCCACTCTACTAATCAGTTGGCTATCCTCAGTTATGTACCAACTATGCAGTCAATTACCAAAAATTGCGCTTAACATCACCCAAAAACCAACATGAACGAATTAGTTAAGAATTAACATTACATTCTAGCCTAAGTTACACTTAGTTTTTTTCCAAATACAAGATGCTATAATCAAGTGAAAAAATAATATGAAAAACTGGAATGAGCAGGCCATTTCTTTCCAGAAGAGGTAATATAGATCCTGTACGTTCACAAATGGAACAGAGTTGATTCCTGACATCTGAAGCAGGTAAATGCTCTTCAATAAAGTACCCTTACCTGAAACCGCACTGAGCGATTCTGTTGTGCATTGTCCCTCAGCCACTTAATAGCTAATGGAAGAGAAGAAAACACAGCACTATTCTCACAACTTTTAATGCAAGCTTCTGTATCATCCCTAACTTCATCACCAGCGACATCTATGTTCTTGGCCTCGCCTTCTATACATCACATGTATGAAGAATATATGTGAGTGGAAGACATTGAGTAACAGAGACAGATCTAAGGCACATAAAATACTACCTTTTTCACCTTGGATAAGGTTCTCCCAAACTCTTTGCAGAGCAAGCTGCCATGACAAATCAACTTGAGAATTGCTAGGAGGTAGAGCATGTGACCCAACCTTGTAATATACAGATATGTTCGGTACAAAAAGCGCCTTCTTGAAATGCACTCCTGGACATTATAATACTTATGCGTGTCATTATACATTTGTCCAAAAGACATCCTCACATTAACATACTGCCCAGCAATTCCATGCATCTGACAAATATGCGGAACTAGAGATCTCTGTGGAAATGATAACTGGCATATGCTGGAGAACAAAATGTCCTTAAAACGGGATCAGAAAAAAAGCTGGTCAAAGAGGTTGCTTTTGGTCAAGTAGTTTGACTGCTTTGTTAGTTTGTTGGTAATGCAGTTCAGCCTATGTAAAGATCATAATTACATTTTAGTTTCAAAACATGACTCTACTCTTTGATTTACAGAGTCAGCAAAATTTTCTAGGTGCATCTTAGCTGGTCATGCAAGGATGTTATTGAACAAGCACTTCTCCAAAAATTTAAGCTGTCCGAAAACATGTCCAGAATGCATATGAGCATGTATCTTTAACACTCACTTGCATGTAAGCCAGATCTTACGCGTGACATATAGGATGTGAACGAAACAACAGCAAACAACAACACAACAACAGACGACAGTAGAAGATTCCATTGCATACTAGCAATGGCCATTGGCCACTTTCACATATACCTAGAGACTTACTAGCTAAGCTTGTATGACCATCGAAAAGTTCTACTTTCTCAATATCAGTGGGTAAGTATGGCGAAGCTATACAGAAATCAGTCTAGATCCATGTAAAGAGATGTTTGAATCTGTAGCTGAAAACAAAAATGTCAAACATTTACCCTGGCTTCATTTTTACAACTGTTGATTGAAAGCAATGTACTGGTTTCACCTTGTAAATAGTGAATATGAAGACAAATGAAAGAATGTATTTTCATATCACGACTTGGGGAAAGGACTAGTTGATGATGCAATATATATTGAACTTTTACCATGACTAGCGCATGTATTCATCAGGCGAGGAAGGAGCAACTTAGGATCTCGCACGGACATGCAGTTGAAGAGAAGTATCTGCATTGGTCAGATAAATTAGCTCAGATTCACTAGAAAGGCACAATGGATTAGTCATAGGAGCAAAACCATTCCCACATATTTTACTTCTCTACATCCCAAGGAAATCCGTGACCAATTGTGAAAAGGACACAAAAATAGAGAAACAAAATAATAGCCATCAACTTCTGCAGCTGAATTGCTAAGGTAAATTCTTGCACAAAGCTAAGAACGTTGCCAATAATTCCAACCGACTGTCTTGTACAAGTGGAATTGGATCTGCCAACTCCTAGCTTAAGATAGTTGGAACCTATGCCAACTCTTTCCATTAAGCTGGTCCTTTTAACCACATGACAAGGTACCATGAAATACTGCCAGCCCATTGTCAATGCATAAAAGTCCATTCTTTCATACAAAGAAATTACGGTTGTATTCTGATCAACAAAGATAATATCACATGAATCTCATGATGTTTTAGATTAGAATGATGTCAATTACTGTTGGTAATATTTCATAGATTATGCACGTTCTCATTTGCTCGAACATATATCAACCCAGACTGACCATCAAAACAGAGCACAAGCATACAAAAGTATCCCGTACTTTTTTTCAAATCCTACCCGTCTTTTCGCTGCATCAATACTAACAATAAATATAAAACAAAGTCAATGAGCTCTACCTGTGTGGAGATTTTTCCGGAACTTTTGCCATAGTTATTGCCTAACATTGGATTTGCAGATTTAGAGTCGCCCCCTTGCTGGTTACACCAGTTCTGAGGTTGATTTTCTTCTTTAACAGCAAGAGAAAACCACTTAGCGCATACTTCCATGCTTTCAGGACTATGAGCACCATCCAAATAAAACACCAGTTCTCCTGAACTGTCAGAGTTTAATAGCCGATCCGGGACAATCTGAGCTCGCCCTTGCAAACTGGCTGATGTCAGCCCTTTAATGAACTGCTCGGGCAAATTGCTCTAGCACCCAAAAATACATTAAAGGAGGAAAGATAATCAAATACCGGCAGAAATGAACTCAGGATTATGCTTACCATCTGTTGCAGACAGATTATGTCCTGATGACCTGTCCTCTGAAGCCAAGTAGAGCATAGAGCAACAGCAAGACCAGCATTGAGAAATTGATGCTCACCCACTAGCCCAAGTTTCAGACCATTAAGTAGGTTGGCATCTAGTGGCGGTGCAACTTGAAGATTCAACTATAAGCAGAATTATTATGTTGTCAATCAACTATATGTTCACATGTGGAATTATGCAATTGAAATACAATCAATCCTTAGCTCACTAATAAGTGAGGAAAATCCAATCAAGAAAACATATAGTATTCAAGTTATTTCAGAAGAAAAACTAGACAAAGCTTGAGAAATAGACACCCGCGAGTTTTACAATTCATTTCCTGCTACAGAACTCCGTATGTTCAATAGGAAAGAAGTTTCATATTGAAAAGATTATGACCTGCACAAAGTCAATCCTTTTATTTAAGAAGTAATCTACTTCATGCATCTTACAATTCTTGGTAACTGACCAGCGAAGCAAGAACATCTTACATCCAAATGAGAAGCTTTCTCTTCAAGCACCTGCATAGCTTCATCAGGTTGAGGCACAGTAAATGCTGGCACTCCTCGCTGGGCCACATGAAATTAGACTATATAAGCCAAATGGATCCCTAAGAAGAACAATATGCTGATAGGGTGCTAATTATATGTTTCAGCAATATACAAATGCTGAAAAACACCTTGAAGATACCAGCCTTTTCCCCAGCAATTTCTCCCAGGGTATTTCCTGTGCAACATAAAGAGATAACAATGATAAGTATTCAAAGTGGAACCAGCATCACTATTATAATTTTAGACTGAAACCATGTGATCTCAAGCCAGGACTATTCCATAAGCTATATTACAACACAATATGCAATATCCATAGACAACATGATTAGATGCCTTGGATGAAAATTCATATGCGAGACATGGTACAGATTGGTCAAGATCCTTGTCAACCTTCAGAAACTACAATCTAAACTTGTCAAAAATGTGTGAAACTTCATAATGAGGTTCATGGTTTGACACATCAAAGAATTTCTTAAACTCATCAACTATAAGGAAAAAGTTAGACACATGAACAGGTTACCAAGTCACACAAAAATGTCCCATCAAGCAGCAGTAGTTTACAGATAAAAAGTCTGAAAGTTGACATTCAACAGGAAACTTGAGGGAGCCCTTCAATAACGTGTGCATTGTGGACAGCAGGCTTCTTGCTTATTGAACTCATAATATCGCTCGAGTGACCTGCAGGTCTACTCCAAGCTAGTATAGAATGCATTTTGGCACCCAGACCACTAACCAGCAAAATTTGGGCCAGTAAGGAACCATTCATTCCCTATGAAACACTGTTTGGGTTTACACTACTCAAGATACTCAAGCACAATTCATGGCAGATACTTTATATATTAATGAATTTAATACAAATAAATGAGGAAATTGAAGTCTAACCAAGAATCTCCATGTGGTCAAACCCCAGAGAAGATATACCGCAGACTATCGGTGCCTCAACCTGCAGAGTTGATGCATGTATAATCACTTTAGGGGCAGCTTACTAATTTAAGTCGTAGTTGTCACTTTTGTATAAGCCATTAGAAAGGTGGAGTGCATCTCAAAACTACTCCTTGTACAACAATTGAGCACATACCACGTTTGTTGCATCAAATTTTCCTCCTAAACCGACCTCTAAGATGGCAACGTCCACCTGTAAAGCGAATACATAATTGAAAAGGGAATCATCTACTAATATTCAAAAGAGACAAAGAAACTCCTAGTAAGAATCCAAGTGTTATATCGAACTAACTTGCTCTGCTGCAAATATCTTAAAGGCGAGTAAGGCAAGGAAACGAAAATAAGTAGGCATTGGTACATCCTCACTAGCTTTTTCCTGCATACAGAAAGACAGTCATCCAAATCAGAGCTAGAGAAAAATAACTGAAAAAACAATGGCCTGGTTGCAGCAGTCTCAATAGGACACCACCGCAGCAGACAGACACTTAATGACGTGACAATGGCGTGCGTGAATACCTTTAGTCTATCATAGCACCACCAGAAGTATGCCAAAAATTTCTCTTCGCAAATGTCCTCACTGAAGCCAAAACCATGAGAAGGAAAATTACTGAATTTGTCATGCAACACACACCCAAAAGGCATAGTAGAAAATCATCCATCCGTCTATTCGGATGCTCTTTAAACCAACCCAACCAAGGAAAGCAAAAGGATGTTTTGGAAAGTCCAACCAAAAAAGTGAAACTCACCCATCCAAACGAAATCTTTCGCACACATCGATGAGGTGAGGTGATGTGAAAAGTCCAGTTCGGAACCCACAATTACGGAGTATTGATTCTGTAAAAGTGCATGTGGATCCCTTTTCAGGTCCAACAGCAAAAAGTAATCAGCACGAAGAAATTTCACTGAATTTAGATACTACCACGCTGTAAGACTCAAAAGTCCTAGTATGATACAGCTACATTATGACTTACTAATTAAATTATGACTTAATATTGGCCAAGAGCAAGCTTATGCAAAGTATAAAGACATCCCACACAAATGGTTCTACGAAACCTGCATAAATTAAACATACACTCCATCCAATAAAATTACAATGAACTCCTAAAAATTAAAATGCCAGAGAATAATGAGTAGACAGTTTGAAATAACACCTGCTCACAAACTAGTATCAACTTACAATTTCCATGGAAAAAGACAAACTAAAAAGTCGCAGAAAAATAATACTTCCCAAAAGTCATTTATTCAGATTTTAGGAGTAGTCTATGTTGACTTTCTACACTGTTCAAAAAGAAACTGTGAGCAGAAAATGAATAAAGCCCTGCTGAAGCTCTCTGATTAAATGGTGAAACAAGTGAGAACCCAAACATCACTGCAGCAGTCTGCTTTAAGTTAGCAAGCTGAAACCCAATACCGATGCCCCGAAAGAGCATTAGGTAGCTTAGGGAAGTAGAATTAGGTACCAATGCCCCTCATAAGCTGACAGCAGCAATTCAGAATGAGCCTCCCTTATACATAAAAATACTGAATCTAGCCAAGCAAATTGGAATACAAAGAGAGACGCCAACAGTCGATCATTGAATTGATCTTATTAACGCCTGCAGACACTTAGCCGTTTCGAGCATTGCACCCAGAAAGCAGAGCATCTTCGAACATAAATACATCCAGACGCATAAAAATGAGATGAACTTCATCTGGTGAATCAAGCAAAAATGCCTAGTACCTTGCCCTTGGTGCCAGCCACATGGATGACCTTCATCTGCGGGATTTGCTGATCCAAATCCAACATCTAAAATCGGAAAACCACGAACAAAGACACAAAATAAAAGGAGAGAAAAAACAAATGAAATAGTCCTCGCTCGCTTATCTAACCAAACAGAGAGAATCAACCACAAGAGCTCCACCAAAAAATAAAAGGTCACCTTCAGATAATCGAAAAGCAAATCGAACCGGTCGCCCTTGTTGCTCTTGTCGGCGCGGCTGCGCTTGGTGATCAGAGAAGACAGGGCCTCCATCGCCTCCTCGTACGGGGAAGCCGCGGGCCCCGCCGAACCGCCCTCACCTGCGGATGCACAGAATCGTCAAGCGAGCACCAACCGAGAGCAACCCGAATTCGCAAATCCAGCAAAATGACCCGTCGCCGCCGGACGGGGAAGTACCTTCCGCCATACTTTCCACCTCCTCCTCCGCGCCCCGCTCTTCGGGACCTGAAACACAGTCAACAGCGACGGAGTGAAGCTTCCGTTCACGGCGATGACCTTCGAGGCATGCACAACGCACACATGCAGATTGGAGAGATACACGTCGCGAGGAATGCCCGAAGCTCGCGCACGCGCGCAGAGAGAGAGGGAATCGGAGGCGAGGCGGAGGCGAGCGGTGGCGAGCGGCGGAGGGATTCGGGTGAGGCGGAGGAGGGAACGAGCTCGAACGGGTGGCGATGGCGAAGGAGTGGGTGGGAGGGTGGTGGATGAACGACGACGATAGAAGGAGGGCTGATAGCGACCGGAGACCGAGGAATCAAAGTGCAGCAGTTTATGCATTGTAATTTTTATTTTTATTTTTATTTGGTTCTTTGTCTTATGGTTGGTGGTGCGTGAACTCGAGGCAATTAAATTAATTTTCAAATAATGTGTCCCAAAAATATTCTCCTAGAAAAATGAAATAAAAAGTTTACACAGATACTTTATTTATTTACTATCATTATCTAACCCTGCAATAGAAATTGGAGACTTACCGACTACCATAAAAACATGTAGTAGCTCTAGAAAACTTATCAAGTGATTTGAGCTCAGATGTGCCAATACATCTTCATGTATTCTCGCTTTTTAGTGAGGTCAAATTTCAACGTACCGAACATCGTATTTCACACGAGTAGCGTGTGCTCACGAGGCTAGTGTTATCCTCCGATGGAGAAATCCTTACTTGCTAAAATAATAGGAAATGGCCATTCTTAAACAGGGAAATTCCATTTTTATAATTCGTCGAGTTTTTTTTATCACTTAGCAAATGGAATTTTAGAAGCTAATACCATAAATCAATAAAGAAACTAAAAAGAACCTAGTCAATTAGAAAAGATACTAACATAAAGCAGCAATGATGATTACTAATGCATTTATTAAGTTGTTCGCTTCCATTAGGATGATAAAGCTTGCAATTTCGCAATATTATCCTGAATATTGAGTTCAGTATTTCTTAATCTTAAGAATAGTAAGTTTTGCTAATTAGTTAATTTTAACTAGCATGGTAACTCTCGTGTTCATATATTGTCAGGGAGCACAAGTTGTTAATGCGTATTAGTAAATCACCACTTGGTCATAACAAAATTGACCTTTAAATTTAGAAGGCCGTGATATAAATATAAATAAAAGTTGGCTAGCGATTTACATGTGTATTAATAGCTAAGGAAAAATGCATTAGCGTGTCTAAAATTTGTAAATAAAATGCATTCGAATTTTAATATTTTCAAATAGAAGAATCAATGTCCCAGTAACATGTCCAAAACGTGTAATCGGGTACACATGTTAACTTCCCATCATTTCGAGCTTTGAAAAAAATTTAAATGTGATTGTTTTGATGTTCTTTAGGAACAGCCGGTGCCTAATGTGGTGCCACAGTAAGGGAGTAACTTTACTCCTAGAATTATCACCCCTAACAACATTGAGAAATTACCAATTGTCGCTAATTAAAATTAATAGAATGAATGGAAGCACTCAATTACACTTTTGTATAAGCTTAAGGACTTAAATCATATGCTTATTTAATATTTTGGAACTTTCGATCCACATATTTCATGTTGTAAAAAGAGAAGCATCAGCAACTTTTCAATAAAACCAACGAATTCCATGTAGAGAAGTAAATTTTGTGTGAAAATATTGTCCAGAATAACAAACTCTCAATTCTCGATGATAATTTTGTAATTAAACTAGTCACAGAGTTTGAATATTGAAATTACAACCGATAGGTAAATGATCCATATATTAATGTATATAAAGATCGGCGACTCGTGTTAGACTAATGAACGCATTTAATATTCGTGTCAATATGTGTTAACATAACTATCGTGATATTGATTCTCTACCTTAAATAATTCACTTTCGACGTATAAAATTAAGGGCCTAATTCTAAAAAAAACCCCAAACTTTACACTTTGTCCCAATTATACCCTGAACTTTTTTTGTCTCCGGGAAAATCTCAACTTTTCTCGAGTCCCAAATCTACCTCTATGTTATAACTCCATCCACATTCGCGAAGAAAAAAAAAAAAACAAACCGGTGGGCTGCGCGCCTAAGCCTTCGCCGTGGGCCGCCGCCACGCCCGCCGCCACGCCCGCCGGAAGGAGCGGTGGCCCTCGCTCGGGCCTTCCGAAGGCCGGCGACCCGCCGGCCCCAGGCGAGGGCCGCCGCTCCTTCCCCGGCTGGCTGTGAGCGGCTACGGCGCGAAGGCTTGGCCACGCCTGCACCGATGGCCTGCTTTTTTTTTTTTTTTTCCGACGTTAATTGACGGAGTTATAAACAGTAGGGTAGATTTGGGACTGAGAAAAGTTTGAGGTTTTTCTTGAGACAAAAAAAAGTTCAGGGTATAATTGGGACAAAGTATAAAGTTTGTGGTTTTTTTTGGAATTAGGCCTAAAATTAAGCGTATCATTCGTGTTATATTTGGATTTTTTATTTGTAATGCCCGTTTTGCCTTGTATCGTACAAATAATTTGTGCAAATAGGTGGAGCCATGCTTTATCAGAGCAGAATAAAGTTTTTCAGTGGGAACTAGAAAATTAAATAACGACTTTTTTCTTGACCGGAAAAATAAACTGATGGATCTAACTCCAATCTCTCCGCGCGTATCTGATCGTGTGCCGTCTGAGCCAAAGCTGATACACCACCATGTGGAACGCATCCAACGGCTGAGGCGACTGGTTCCACGCGAAGTGCCTGCTCGCGGCCACGCACGATCCCCTCATCCGCTCCACGCGCTCCCTCGTCATCCCCCTTAGCGCGCGCTTCACCCCCGCCGCTCCGCCGCCGCTCCCGACGAACACCGCCATCTCCTGCCACCTCAGCACGTCGATCAGCGGTAGGTCCTGGATCGGGCGGTCCGTGACCACCACCGGCACGCACCCGAACCGCATCGCGTCCCCGATCCCCGACACGTCGCCTCCGTAGTCAAACAAGCAGAACTCGCTCGTCGCGAGCCGGCGCTCGAAGGTCTCCCGATCCGACGGCTCGGACTCGATCAGGAAGTTCCGATCTCCGGCTAACCGGCCGGCCAGGCCGGGGTCCTTGATCGCGCCGAGCCTCGCGTGCGCCAGGTGCTCGGCCGGCCCGTCCGACGGCGGCGCGCGAGGCTCACCCTCGCCGACCCGAGCAGCGCCCGCCGGAGGCAGGGCCACGTCCTTGTGGGGGACGAACCTGCCGCCCGACGCCGGGAAGCACGACAACTGGACGGAGTTCTTCTTCAGCTCGAGGAGGTTCCGGTCCGACCCGAACCCGATCCCGTCGCAGGAGGCGTAGAAGTGGTCGGCCCCGAGCGTACGGTTCCAGTAGGGGAGGTCCGCGCGGAGGTCCCGGACGACGCGCGCGACGGAGCGCTCGGAGAGGCCGCCGTCGAAGGGGACGAAGAAGAGGTGGGCCTCGCTAGGGTTCTCGGTGACGAAGCGGCTGCCGAGGAGGGAAGCGAGGAAGAGCGATTCGGCTTCGGATTTGAACTCGAAGGTCCTGCGGGCGTCGTAGACGAAGATCCTGAAGTTCCCCAGCATGTCGTCGTAGTCGGCGGCGAAGATGGCGGGCGATCGATACGGCGGCGGAGGAGGAGGAGGAGGAGTGGAGTGTACGGACGGTGGAGCGAGGAGAGAGAATAGGAGGAGGAGGAGGAAAGGGAGGTCGGCGACGAACATTTTCGCCGGAGGCAGAGGAGAGAGGAGGAGCGATTTGCGTTGTGATCGAAGCAGGACTTTTGATGGGGGAAGAATCGGGGGAGGTCCGTGGCGTTTTGTGAGGTCGGACAAAACAAGTCATCGCCGGCGGCGAGCGTTGACTTAGAAGAGGAAGTTTGGGGTTTGGATCCGAATCGGGTCGTCCGGACTCCGGATCGATGTTTCGGAGAATTGAACATCACTGCCGTCTGATCTTTTGGTCCTTTCCTAACCTTTTAATAAAAGAAATATACAAAATATTCCAAACCATTCTTTGGAGCTAAAAATTCAATTTTTCTTATAAATAAAGTGAATATCATAGCCAACATGCATGTGATCCTACTAGTAAAGGGATTGGTTAGGTAAGGTCCGGAGTTCAATCAACCTGAGCAATAAGCAATGAATGCATTTGTACATAAAAAAGAGGTATGAAACAAAAAAAATAAGTGAATATAAGAGATATTACAATATAAATGGATTTATTGACGGAAACCCACTCGAACACAATGATGAATTAAGACTCTATAGAGTCCGGCTCAATGAACTAGCTTATTAAGATTATAGTATAAAGGAATTTATCGACAGAAATCCACTCGAACACAACAAAATTAAGACTTTTTTTTTGCTAGAAAACAAAATTAAGACTTTATTGAGCACTACTCGATGAACCGGCTTATTAGTAGTACTAAGAAAATTGTTCAAGAATAGATGATGAAACTTTTTGGTAATACCGAGTTTACTTAATAAATGATTATAAAATTCAAATGACAATTTAACACTTCGTAGTATTTATCATTCAGAGAAGGAGTGGAAGAAAAGGTTTTGTTGGAGGATAGAGATATCACTGCTCGTGACTAAATATTCGATCCAATCTCTATGTATATTTTCTTATATGTTCACTAGAAGTCATAAAATTTATCACCAAAGTGTAATTGAGTCCTAAAACTTGCAAAATGTGCAATCGAGTCCCAAAACTTGTCAAATTGATTCCTAAAGTTAACACCATCCAATTTGATTAATGAAAAATACTGACGTAATTTTTTTTTCATTTTTTCTATCTTACGTGGCAATGACGTGACCTTTTTCAATCATTATTTTAATATTAATTTTATTTAAATTAAATTTGAAAAGTAAGCTAAAATTTAAAAAATTTAAAAAAAGGGAGGTGGAGGATAGGCGGGGAGGACCCTCCCTGCTGCCGCCACCTCACCATCGCCACGAGGGGTTGATGAGGGTGGAGGGACGGCAGGCGAGGGCCTGCGAGCCCTCCCCCAGATCGGGCGAGGGTCGCCGACCCTTGCCCAGACTTGGCCGAGGATCGCCAGTGACAAGCCACATGGTATTTTTTTTTGCCACATCGTCCACATTTAACCAACAAAGCTTTACCTAATTAATTTGTCATTCACAAATTTTTGTCTCTTTTATTTTAAATTTGAAGATAAAACATCTTGACTTTTTAAAAAAAAAATTATGTTATTTAGGATAAAGCTCATCAAAGTAATATTATCCATACGATTCAGGAAAAATTTATTTTGATTTGAAATTCGAAAAGATACATACCGAAAAACTATCTTCCAATAAAATTTTCAGCTATATTATTTTGAGCATAACTCGTGATAGTAAGATTATCCACTTGTAAATTAAAAATAAAGGAGAAATATATCTAATTACATGAAAAATGTCGAAGAGATGCGCGTAATTTTTCCGTTATCATTGCGAAAAAGATAAATAAATGGAGTGAAAAAAAAGGAGGCTTTTTCTTTTTTCGACCCCAAAAAAAAAAGGAGGCCTACGTCAGTCTCCGAAAAGAAAAAGTGTGACATTAACATCGTCAGTCTCCGAAAAGAAAAACTAATCCTAATCATATGAAGAAACGCCCACGAAGGCCTACCACCTACCTACCCATAATATTAATAATAAAAAAAAGGGAAAGAAATCAGAAACCAGAGACTCCTCTTTGACCGTCGGATCAGACGACCATCTCTACGTGGCAATGCATCCGCTGCCCCGCCAAGATAAGCTGGCTTGACACGTGTATGGACGCGATCCCCCGCCCAAATTCTTTCCATTTGCCCTTCTTTTTCTTTTTTTCTTCCAACAACTCGACATATCCGGAAATACTTACGCTAATTGACAAAATGTAAGTTCATACAACCAATTACGGACAATGTCGAAATTGCCGTGCCGCAGCCTATGAAATACATTGTTTTTTTTTTTTAAAAAGGCGCAATGAAATCATGTATTTTCGCGATGATAATAAGAATTTGACATGAGAACACAAATAGCCGAAATAAAAAAAAAAGAGAGAAAAAAATACGATGGGATTGCACGGGATATACACTGCAAGAAAATCTGGAAAAATAATTAATGCGATTAAGGCGTAAATTGATAATAAATGAATAAATAAATCCCCAAAACGACAGCGACTCGGAGAAGCCAGCAGGCTCATAAGCGACAGAAAGCCATCGAAACGACGAAGCGCATCGCCCCACTCTGTCTCTCTCTCTCCACATTAGAGTTGCTTCGTTGTGACCTTCTCTCTCTCTCTCTCTCTCCATCTCGCTCGTTCGCTCGCTCTCGCTCTCGCTCTGTCGCTCGCTCTGCGTCGTGCGTTGCTCGCAATCTCGTCCGCACAGATTCCTCCCCCCCGCCCCCATCTCCGCTCCTGCTCGATCGCCCCCCAAATCCGTAAGTCCTTAAGCCCTCGCGTCGCAAACCCTAATCGCCGCCCGGATCGCCGTATCTTTGTTCGAGTCCGATTTTTCCCCCCCTTTGAATCCGCCCGAGATCTCTGCTCCAGTTCCCGTACGATCTCGCAGTGTTTTTTTTTTTTTTTGGCTCTTGGCGATTGGTGCATCGGGCTCGCGTGAGCGCTCTCTCGAATCGGATGTGTCTGGATTGTGGTTGCATGTGGACGGAGTCGATTTTTAGGTTTTTTCGCGGGTTTCTCGCGCCGGGCGGTTTGGGGAATTTCGTGGGTTCCTCTGTCAGTTACCGGGAATTGGTTGTCTTGGTGTGAGGTGGCATTGGTGGCGGTGGATGCTTTCGTGGGTCCCGTCCTTTTGATGTCGGCAGTGAATGGCTGTGGTCGGTGATGCTTGGACGGGGTCGACGAGAGTTTGGGTGAACAGGGGTCCTAGGGTTTGACGCGTGCGTCCGGGAGAATTGTGAATGGGGGTGATCCCCGTAATGCATGTGTTGGTGGATTTTTGTTTTGTGGCTCGTTTTCTTTTACGTCTCGTTGATGGATGTGGTTTTCTGCCTTTTTGATTCGTATAATTGAAGAAAGAGTGAAAAAGGAGGAATTTTGGAAGTATTACATGGGAAAACATGACAATCAAAGTGGCATCATGGGATGTTGTGTGTTGAGATCACTTGATGATTGAATCTTCGAAGAATTCAGGGGTTTATATTTTGTACTGTGTCTTTTTCCCTTGTTTTTTTCGTCTTCTTTTTCCTGGATGATAGCTTGACTGAGTCCTGACTCTCACTTTCTTTTGTCTCAGGGAAACCATGAGCGATCAGGGAGAAAAGACATGCCCTCTCTGTGCTGAAGAGATGGATTTAACTGATCAGCAGCTGAAGCCTTGCAAATGTGGTTATGAGGTCTGATTAACAATTATTTGTTCTGGTCATTCCGAACTCTTTTCAAATTTTAAGAAGTATAACCGCCATGAAGCACACGCTTTTTTGAAATATATGAATTCATATAAATATATTGCCACTTGCATTCAGTTAAAATCAGCTAGGTATGAAATAATGTCGTTCCTTTTTTTCCTTCTGAAAGAACCCGTAATTCTTGAAGCCATTGATAATACTTCGATTCAGTGTTAATAGGATTAATATCATCCCGTTGATCAGTTTCCAGAGCTTTCAGTAATGATTGACACAATATTTTCTACTTGGATTTGGGATCATCATTCAACTTGCTTGGCTCTGGCATCATTTCTCTGCTCACACCTTATGGGCATGTCGACAAAAGCGAAACAGTTCTATCTCTCATATCGTGCATACGCATTGTCAAATGTTTTTTTGATCTTTTTAGGGGTGTCCTCCCTTCTATTGGTGATTGGGTTGATTTTGTTTTGTTGTGATGTAATGCCTGGCGCTTGTTGCTTTTTCTGAGAAGAGTGGCTATTCCCTTAGTTGTAAATTTTCTTATAATTTATGAGAAAAAGCAGTAACAAGTCAATAGAATCAAACAATAGCCTGGGGTATATATCGTGAAGCTTCCTATATAATTAATAATCGAAGCCCATGGCAATCACGTGACTTCACTCTATGGCTAATGACACTGTCCTGGAAATGGAGTCATCCCATTCAGAGTGCACCTGTAATCTTAATACGGTCTATATGTAGGGGCTGCTGCGATCTGATTTGATCATGACCCAACTGTGAAGTCTCCCATTTGTTTGATTTGGTCTGTAGGCAGTCAATTCATAAGGTGGCTCCACTCTATCCACGTTGGCTTGACTATTTAGTCTGTCAATGTTGTAGTGTAGCCTATTTTAAGTTGGTTGGCAAGTATGATACGACTCATACTATTCGCGTCAAGCTTTAGGAGAACTCGTCAGTTATATAGTTCCAATATGGTCAATATAAGGTTTTTCTTTCTATGTGGGTATGACTTGATTTTAGTGGTTGATGGCTCTTTGAGTTGCCATTGGCACAAAGTGAGTGATTGCTACATGTCTCGTTGGCATTTTGCAGATCCTTCATGATTCTGATTCTGCTCTTTCTAATGCTTGTACCTTCATAAAGGACACTATGGCAATTTTCTGTGTGAAAATTTGATATTATGTGGATTGTTTTGCCGAGTCCGCAGTGACAATAGTAAGGATTTTGTTTTAGTACTTCATAAGTTATAAACCTGAGGAGCAAGGTCGATTGTCTGTGTAAAGTGGTGTTATATTTACTATTTGTTAGTTTCTGTTTGTTCTGCGTTAAAACAGCTTGTTTGTGGTTTCTGTTTGTTTCCGTTC